TCTTTACTATAGACCATGTTGCATACTGGAAAGCGAATGAGTGTAGGGCTTGGCTGTTGTTTTACTCTGTGCCCGTACTGTGTGGAGTATTGCCTGACGATTATTATCAGCATCATCTTCAGCTTGTAGAATCTGTACACATAATGTGTAAAGATGAAATATCTCAAGCTGAGATAAGCTTAAGTGCACTGCAAACAAGTTGTCATCCACTATGTGTCACTATTTGGTGCCCTGCACTCCAACAGACTCATGACCATCAATGTACACCAGTTGTTACATTTACCTGATGTTGTACAGAATCTGGGGTCACTGTGGGTGTGCAGTTGTTTTGCCTTTGAGAGCCTAAATGGGAAGCTGTTGAAAATGGTCCATGGTGCTAAAAAGCCTGTGGTTCAAATTGGAAATGCCGTTACAACCATGCTTCGTTAGGTGACAGGCTTGTGTGCAATTCAAAGGCAGCATCCTTGTATGATCATTTCCGAAGGCGTGGCAGAAAGTGCTGTTGAAATAAAGAGTACTAGGATGCAGTTACTCGTGCTTCTACAAATCTTTTGGGCTCACCAGTTTTCTCTTTTTTAAGGGTGCGGGTCAATAACAAGCTTGTTTGCAGCTCACAGCATGTTGCTCTGAAGAGCAGGGATTGCTCTGTTGTTCTGCTGCATGATAGAAGTTATGCAAGGGTTAAGATATTTATCAAATGTGCTTGTGAGTGTTCTCGCCTGTGCCACTGTGGAATTTCCGGGCCAACGCATTTTGCGCTTGTGAAAAAATGTATGTTGTTCAGTGTGATGAGGTTGGAGTGTGCTCCAATGAACTGACTGACATCTCTCTTCCTCATTTCCGACTGGTTCAGAGTAAGAACAGTCAATTAGAGGCCATCCCGATTTGTTCCATCAAGGATGTATGTGTGTACATTTGTATTAGGTTAGGAGAAAAGCTTCCCAATTTGGAATTCATAGTTTCACCTCCAAGTTGCAAAGATAATAATTGAATTAAATGCAGGTTAAAAATACAAGTTGTGACAAAAAGAATGTTGTGTTTCCTGCAGATGAAACACTATGACTATCTGTGCACAGGTTTATAAGTTACATCTTCTAGAGCATGGAGGCACTGGATGAGAGTGCAATGATGTGACTTGAAGTCCCAAAATAAATTGAAGTAATTGACAAGTGAAAATACTGGCATATGAACCTGTACATAAATTTATAACACACCTGATGATTTTGCCACTTGTTAGTTTCATTTCAATACAGGTTAATGAAATGTTTTTCTTTGTCTCATTGACGTGCTTTCATGTTCCCTGCAACTGGTTGCAATTACATGTGTCACTGCAATTTTCATAGCATATTTTCTTTCTTTACTAGCGCCTATTCCAGTGATACAAAGCTCTCCCCAATGGTGTGTAATGTGCATACCTCTTTCATGCAGAGTAATAAACAGCACCTAGACCTCTAACAGTAACATATAATTCATACTAAAACTAAATGGCATTATTTACTGTGTGTAGGAAGTGTTACACAAGGAGTACACAGTACAAGTAAATTATGTGTGTTATGACCTTAATTTTTCCTGAAGTGAAGTTGCCATTATGTGTCAAATAATGTTAGTTTGGGCTCAGGTATTAATCAAATAGTTATGTACATGTATGAACTACTGTTCTAGGGTTTCAATGAATTATTTTTATTAATGAGATGTATTTTGAATATTTATCAATACACTACATTAGTGACTGTGCGTGCACATAATCCTGTGTCGTATGCGTGGTGTGCATCATACATGTAGCTTGTGAGTATACCCGTAATTTGAATTTGTATCCAGCAATAAAACATCAATTCAGTATTCAAAGCAAAAGTGTGACTCTCTTAATGATTTCAGTTGTACAGTTTCAGATTCGAAGTTATGGATGCTATTGCCAAATTTGTTTGTCTTAGGTTATATCAGGAAAGGTATAACTCTTTTAGACTTTTACAATTTCAATTTTGCCTGAAATTATGAAGCCTGTGAAGGGCTTCAAAACTGAATCTCAAGTTTGCTTTGCACTCCACTTTATATGCAACGAATAATGTGCACGCACACGAATGGCATTGTACACA